GAGGACGATCCCTGGAACAACTATCAAAGCTGAGATGCCTGAGCCGGCCAATATAGCCAAGCATTTGTAGTTACTTTGTTTTCTTTGTCCACTTTTCATCTTTCATGATTTCGGGTTTTTCATGAGCTTTCACCATGGTCTCCCATCATTTGTGGACCAGTATGCTACCCAGCCTTTTGTGGACTTGCTTTCATGCTGCGACCTCTCGCGGTTTCACCCAGCACCCCGAAAAAACCTGTGCAGTCGATTCTATGACAGGCATACACTCTCACAACTGAACAGGAACCTCCTTCCGATTTTTCAGCCACAGTTGGCGACACCGCTTTGCAAAACGGCTTGAGACCTTGAATTTTTCCGACATGTGTTTACTCAACTTTTCAGTTGATTGCATCCACACCGCCACCACAGCTTTCTTGCTCGAACTTTCCGCTTCCTACTCTTTCACTTTCAGAGACTTTGACATCATGGACGCGCAGTGGCAACAATTCTACTGGCAGCGCTATTTACTCCAACAACAGCAACAACAGCAGCCAACAACACACCCGAGCCAGGCCACTCACCAGTATGCCTGCGCAGGCGCTTACGGACCTATGACCCATTCCGTACGCACCCAACAGGCCCACCACCACCACCACCACCACCACCACCACCGCCCATACACTCCTTCGCCTTCCACCTCACAGCCGGCACACACTCCCTGGCCTTCTACCAACCAGCCTTTCCCATCACCACCACCACCACCACCGCCACTTCCAACTGCAGCTCCTACCACTCCCAATGCAACATCCTTCAAGCGCAGCCCAGCTCACTCGACTCCACCAGCACCGCCATCAACCGTTCCTTTTCCCCAACCACCGCTTCAAGACTCTTGGCATTCCACAGATTTCCACTGGGACTCTAACGCTCTACATGGCCATCAACTTCACCGCACCATACAACCCACCCAATGGTCACGCCGCGTCGGCGTCGCTGGACTTCCCACCTTCGATGTTTTCCCGTGGCTCCTCACGTACCACGGTACGGCCGATTATACAGCCAGGACTCTCAGCCACGGGAAATATTGTGGCCTCATTCCAACATGCAGCATAGCTGAGTCCGTTTTCACAACCCACCTATTACAAGAAATTCGGGACAAGCGCCTTGACCTGGACGCGATCGCTGAAGCCCTCCACACATCCCAAGGCACTGCAGTGCCCAACAAAACCACCAAAGCAGCCGCTGAAGGTTCAGCCCTTCGCGCCTTGAAAGCCACTTCTGAGGACCTGGCCCGAGCCCGAGAGAAGCTCCAAGCCCACGGCATCGAACTCACACCCCGCAAAGAGCCCGGCCGCTCTTCCACCCCCAGTGCACCAGCCGCTCCAGCAGAACCAGCCGCACACAAACCACGTGAGTTGTCAGATGTCCTCCAACCACCGCATCCGTCTTTAAAAGACGATGGCCCAGAATCGTGGACAGCTCCAGCCATTCAACAATGGATGCGCAGCTTCGACCCAGCCATCCAAGAATCGGCCAAAGAAGTGCTTCGCATTTTTCAGACGAGCAAGGTAACTACTGACCAATTGAAAGATTCCGCCGCTCGATATGGTTTGCCACTCACCCGCGTCAACAAACTCACCATCAAGAGCTTGCAGCACATTGTCAGTACAGGGGCAGCCGTGGCCTGCTGACTCTCTCTCTGCAGCCAACAACTGCCGCATAACAACCACTTGCAACAACTCTACCATTTACACAGAGCCCTTTCCACACTCATTCACAAAAGCCAATACATCGAACGCGCTGAAGCCATCTTCGCTGTCGGCCTCATTCACATTACCCTCCTCTTTTGCTATCCCTCCTCTACGCAACGATCTCAACAATGGCGACAACGCTTGCGACACCTCCAAGTGCTGCCTCACGCCTACCACTACCACAACTTCCGGTCCCCCCAACTCCGTTTACGTCAAACTCCACTCCAACACCCTCGCTCCGCAGCGGTGTTACCACCAACACGGCCACTTTTACGCGGGCTCCACTGCCATTGGCGTACCCCATAGAGAACACAATCGCCGAGCCAAGCTCAAACAACTTCAAAACAACGTCCCAGTCTCCGCTGAGCTATCATTGCGCTACTGGCATTCACATGACAACATTCATCGCTTCAGCGCCATTCAGCTCTCGTCCCACGACAACTACGATCAAGCATGGATAAAAGAACATCACTTCATCTCCAACTGGATGCCACCCCTCAACTGGCCGTTTATCTCCCAACACCTCAAGCTCAAGGCCGAGGGATGGCAATTCACAAAACACCGAGCACACTTCTACTCTCGCCTAGCCACTCACAAGCGGCTCTTTCGCAAACTACGCAGACGACAGCAGACGATCAGAGAACCGTACCTTTTTACCTCCACCAAGCATCAAGCCTTGACTCTTCTCCGCAATCTCACCAAGCATACTTTGGCCTCCTTTGAAGCAGCAAAACAACTTCGCAGCGGCCGTCACACAGACCTCGAAGTGTATGCCATCAGACGTATGGCCTCCAATCTCGAAGAGCCAGGTCGTAGCCGAGCCCTGCGCATTATCAACAAAGCGCTTCACTACAGAAATTTGACACCTCCCAAGCCCAACATTCCCCTTACCATACCATTCCTGGCTCATGACGATTTCACCAAGCACTGCCAGCAATGGCTACAAACCACCATCCAACAACGCAAGCATTTAGCCATTCCACTCCACCTCCCCACACATCGTCTTCGCGAAGCTGCCACAAAACACTCCGAGCACAGCTTCACAACCATCGCGCTTGGGAAGATACCTTGCGCACACCTCCAGATCCTAATGACCTGCCGTGTGCTTGCTCCCATCTTAAGACTCTTCTCCACCAACGACGACCTTGTGGGCTTCTTCAACTCAGTGCCCCAGCACCGCCTCATCGACGCAGTTCACTCTGTGATTCAACAATGGCACGCCAAAACATTACACACACTTTAACAGTTGACACCAAGGCACCTACAAACAAATCCGAGGGGCTGGGATTGGCTCCCAACTCTCTCCTGCCCTCTGCAATGTTGCCATGACCCTTATCGAACACTCCTGGCACCAGCTCCACAACAACTTTCTCCAGCGCACAGCCCGCCATTTTACTTACTACAGATACGTCGACAACCGCTTTATCGCGCGCAACGAACACTTCCTCTTCCACCCGGCCACACAGACTCTCATTCACCACAACTTTTTGGGCGATCCAGCGGAACTGGAAACAGTCGACGACTTTCACCTCCTGGGCTTTAACATTGACCTACCACAACGCACCATCACCCACATCCAACCCACGCAACCCTGGAAGATCAGGGATCCCACCAGCGCCGGTAGCCAGCGCTTGGCTCTGTCCGGCTTAGCTTCCAGACCCCACGCAATTTACACATACACCTTTCCACCAAACACCGCAGCGGCAGCGGCTGAAGAGCTTATCCGGCTGTACGTCCAAAAAGGACCAGTCGACGCCACCTTCTCACATGCCTGCGCCGACTTCAACCCCTGTTCCTAAGGGTCCTTTGGTTCTTTGTTCTGCACATGCAGGGGAGTGGTGCGCGGTCTTGGAGTCACCACTCAACGAAGACACTTCACCGCCCGCGGTGATATCCGGAAGGGACGCCTTCTGGACGTACCTGCAACTACTTTTTGAACTGTTGGACAAGTTGTCTACTACGGTGTTTTCTGCGGTTTCCCACCGCAGCTTTCAGCCGCTTGTGAATTGCAGCCAGCCGCGCGAGTGAAGCACTTTTTCAACAATTCAAGTCACCTCACTATTTCGCCTTGCCGTTCCACCACCTTCCTTCTCAACTTGGGAACTGAGTTAACAGCAAACCCATGTCAGAGTGTGTGTTTTTTTTCCCGGTGGTTTGTGCGGCTTTTGGTTTTTGATGGTTTGTGTGGCATTGGGTTGGCTAGGTGTGATGGTTTGCTTTTGGTTCTCGTGGAGTTTGTTGGATTTTGATGGCTAGGTTTAGGTTTTGATACAGTAACATTTTTTTGGCATTTTGTAATTTTTTGGTGTGTTGGAGGGAGGCGTCCTCCCCACAACCCCTCCAAATTTTTCAAGCCAAGCGAAGGCAACCAAAGCCAAGCCCAAGCAGTTTCGGGTAGGATTTGGGGCACGGGATGACCCTCGCCACCACTGAAAAACTGCAACCTCTTTAGGGGCACCGGGGGCTCAACTGACTGCTGGGAACCTTCCCGAACCCTCATAGGGAGCAACCTGGCAAAACAACAGAACAAAAAGGAACAACAAAGACTTCCAAAGCTAACATTGCAGCGTTTTGGGAGCGCCTGGGACGCTGAAAATTTGGAGTGGCATGGTGAGCTTCATAAAGTTGGAGGGTTGGTAGTATGAGGACGATGGGGGGGAGGTTGTGGAGGATGGTTGCCCTGCAGCTCCATGCTAGAGGGAGGGGTGTGCCGACATTTCACCCATGATCAGTTCCCTTTCCCAAAGGGAGGGGTTCTTTCTTTTGCTTTATGATCGACTTCAAAGCAAAAGAGGTACTTTGCTCAACAGCCCTCCCAAACATGTGGATCTCGGCAACTATTCTTCGTGTCGACCCCACTGCTATAAATTCAATTCAATCCTTACTTTTGCTTACGACGACAACCATTGTTTCCAGTTTTCACAGTGATTTCGCATGCCTATGGTCCTATGGTCTTCCAAAGCCAACGCACCTTACCACTGCCTGCCACAGGCCAGTCACCTGCACAAAGTCACGTGGCCCTCCACAACCTGAATGCAACGGTTCCCCTGGCAAACGATAGGGGACTCACAAAAAAAACGACGATCTTTAATATGGTTCCAAAACATTGGAATAGTCAGGACTCACAAATCTGAGGATTCAATAGCCGCACATAATAGATGGATGGATAGCCGCACATAATAGATGGATGGATGTGGATGGATGGATAGATAGGCGTTTTATACCGAAGTTAGAGGAATGGGGTTTTGATTTCCAAGAGACTTGGGGGCCAAGGCACAGCTGGTTTGTACTGGCTGATGCCCCCCCCACGCTTTTGGACGCTTTCCGCCAGGCAGAAAGTGTTTGCGAGTGTTTGCTTGCAAGAATCGTGCTGTGCTATGGATCGGCCACGCCCCCGCCACAGGGCGGTAACTCTCCCTCACGCAAGCAAAAGCGGAACAGCGAGGCAATCACCAACAGGCTACTGGCATACTCTAGTTTCTTTACAGCAGCTGTGTGTGGTGTGAACTTGAATAGCTCGCAGGTTAGGCCTATGCTCGACATCGTCCGGGTAACATTCGACAAGGACTGACCTTCTATTGATTCCTTGGTCGGAATTAAGTAAATTGATGTATGTTCACCTTTATTTGTGCAAGCTCCTGAACAATCTATTTATTCTTTTGGCCCACTTGCAGGGATCGAGCAGCTTACTCTACTTGTCCGTGCAAGCTGCCTTGCTTTCCTTCTTTGGCTGTGACGATGTCACATACGACCTATCATTGGAAGTCTTCACGGTGCCAGCTGCAAGACACCAATTGTTTCAGACGCGCGCTTGCTTTGTCAATCAGACAATGTACGTTGTCTATGCACAAATTGTACACATATCATAAACTCGCAGAACATACTGCAGCTAATTCAATGAATGACAAATGTAGTGGAGGCTGCGGCTGCGCAGTCAAAATTCATGTCCCTGAAGCCTTGGACGGACTGAGCCACGGTCCCATGATGGCTTTCAACATCGACACAATGTTCCAGCTTTTGACCTTTGAAGCCACTCCTCGCAGCCAAGTTTGGCTCAAGAGGGAGACATAGACTCCAGCGAGGCAAGCTGGATTTTGAAGCCCCCCTCTAAGTTTTGAAAAAGGCTTTCTATCTCGGCAAGCCCGTGGCCAAGCTTCAGGTGTCACTTCAAAATGGCCGAGGTTGGTTCAATCGTGCGATTTGAACATGGTTGAATGAACCTGAAATAGCGACCTGCTTTGGAAGCTCATAATTACATATCCGACATATCCAAGATTCCAGACAGGAGAAACAAGACAGTATGTAAGTTATTCTTTCAAAATTGTGTTTGTGAAATATAGAGCTTGTGACGAACATTTGTCATATTTTTTGTATAAATCCTACAGTTGGGGTGCCAGATTCTTTCTGCCTTTCTGGGATCGTTCAGACATAACCACCTCCTTGACCTGTTGCTTCTCCTGTCAAACCTGTGTTAAGCCCAACACAGGGCGCGTCACCAAAGACGCAAAATGATAGCCAAAATGACGGAATCCACGACCCAAAGCTTGTCCACCCGGAGGGCACCATGCAAAAGAAACGGTCCACCTATGGCATAACTTGCTTGTGTCAGTCCACTACAGAATGACAAGGAAACGCCATGTACGCATGGAACATATAGAAGTTTATTTTGTAGCCTCATGTCACATGTCTTCACATAAATAGTCAATCTGGGTTGCTTTCCTTTTGCTTGTGTTTCTCGATGTTTCTGGAGTATTTGTTCTCCAGTCTCACCTTCTGTATTCGTATCTTCTGTTTTTTTTGTTGCCCCATCAATTTGCCGAGCTGAAGCGCAAGTTGTTTCTGAGTCTGCTATTCTTGTTAATCTCGTTAGTTTGTGTCCGTGTATGGCCTCTAGTTGTTGATAGTTATCCTGCTCATTGTTGTTATGCACTTGATGCTGGATGCTGTGCCACATGACCATTCATTCCTTTTGTTCTTTCCTGAATCTCTTAAATCGTTGAAACAGTTTGGGCTGGCCTTTTCATCCCAGTTTCAACTCGCTGAACTGTCTGTCGATGCTGTAACAGGCTTTATCCATTGAAGAGCCACTTGACATGATCCGGTCTGGATCCCGTTGTTCGATTTGCTGGCCCTCTCTCTAATCTTACCTCCTCAAGACGACGATTTGAGGCAAAACCTTGATGAGAGGATCTTTGTAAAATGCCGTGGAGATCGCGAGATCCGGGGCAGGCGGAAGTGACAATTGCTGGACTGATATCGGAAACAAACAGATGTACACGAGGTTGCATGCCTATGACCAGCACCTGAACATGGTCCTCAGTGAGGTTGAGGCCAGGTTTGCAGTCGTCAGAAGGCTTGATACAGCGCTAAAAGCCATCAACACAAGCAAGGAAATCTCCTACGTCAGAGAGGAGGTCCCTGGAAAGGAGAGCCAATCTATTTGAGTTTGCTCTGAATGTTTTTCTGTTTTCGGAAAAGATTTGGCCACTCTCACAGGACGAGCCTGAATTGAAGCCACAGAGAAGGGGCATTGAAATGATTTTTGCTTGTCCCTGAGCAAGGGGAACAGACACGTCTGTTGTACAGGTTATTTGATACTATTCACTGCTTTGATGATATCCAGGTCAGAGGAGACTCGGTCATATTGGTGCCAGGAGCCCAAACGACTATGCTGACTCACTGAGTGTTTTTTTGGAAACTATTTGTTTCAAAACTGGAGAAGATTGCAGATTGCATTTTAATGCAACCCACATACCAACCATCCACATTCTTTCTCCCACCACTTTGCTCCCTGCATCTCGTGAGGTCGCCACCACTCAAAGGCCAATGAGGCAGGAATCACACTTGATTTTGAAGTGAGTTTAAACAGCTGCATGCTCCAAGATTCAATTCTTTCCAAAAACACATGAAGCAACTCATTCCTTCCAATGTCAGTGCTTCATGCTGTAGGTCTGGGCGCAAAAAAAGGAGAAAGCTCCGTGCCTTGTTCACTTGCACCCCTACCAATTGTACTGTTTGCTGAATGCAGCAGACGGGAAGAATGTCAAATATGCAGGCTGGACTGGACTAGCCATTGCTGAAAGCAAATTGCTGAAAGCAACAAGAAATAAACCAGCTCTTGACACTGGTCATTGCTGGCGCTGGCTGCAGAGCCAGTGGCCAGTCTGGTCTTTATAGGAACAATGATGAGTAGATTCTGCAAAAAAGTACTGTACCAGTGAGAGTGCGCCTGTGTACCGGTTGCATCCCTTGCCTTTGTCTGACCTTGTGGAGGCAACATGAATACAAGATAATTCTTGTTCAGTGTGCCGCATTGCAAACTGGCTGGTCTATTTTGCAAGTATCTGAGAAACAAGACACACGCGGACATTAGGAATTGTAAGCTTTGCAAGCTGCCCATGAGTAGCGTCACTAGCAAGCAGATTTCATCAGCATCAAGAGCAAAGTCCTACTGTAAGTGTAGCAGCAGGGTCTGAAGCTGCCAAGCTCCGACAAGAGTGTCACGTCTATCGTTTGCAGCCTCAATCGTATGGTTTCGCCCTTTCGCCAACTGAGACAGCGAGTTGCGACACTTGCTTGCGATTCAGTTGCGTCACTTTGGACTTCAACTCCTTTGTTCACTCTTTCGGTTTGTCCTTGTTGGGAGTAATCCAGGAGTGTCCGACACAGCGGCCTCGCCTGGCTCCAAGGCTGTCTCCCTAGCTGCAAACATGTTGATATGCGTCGGTTTGAGGTGCTTCAATGGAAGAGAAAGTGCGCGTCTCAATGCACCAGAGCTGGTTGTGGGTACATGTGGATGGTTGGCCGCGCGCAATTTCTTCAACCGACTCGGCAATACTAACTGGACTTTCTCGCATTGTTTGAGGTTTGGTTGGATCCAACCGGATCAGATGCTGGACCACCCAGAAGCATTCAAGAATAATTGGAGGAGCCGAACGTATGTCATCATTTTGAAGGATGTCGCAACATGAACCAAACTGGGAGGATTTACGTGAATGCACTGGATGTGAAGGGTGGCATCCTGCACAGCGGAGCCAGAGTGTGGGGGCACCAATGTATTTGAGGCCAAAGATAATACCCTTCATGTACTTGGCCTCATCGCTGCACCGCTGCACTGACAACACCACTCAGGTCCTTTTTTGTTTACAGTGATGGCAAAGGTCTTGGAGCTGAAGATGTCCAGCTGGACTGTGCAAGCCGAAGAAAGATGTTGTTGTTGTTTTTCCCAACGCCATAATGGAGTTGGGTTTCAATCTCTGGGGCTGGGAGTGGTACACAGTTTGTCTCTGCCCGAAAACGGGAATTCTAAGGGTGCTGCTAGGTGCCGTGATCGGACTTCCATGCTGGGACCTTGGGGCTGTGTGATCAGACTTTCACGTTGGACCCTGAGTGTTGTTGGGAGCTGTAGCCCTCTTTTCTGTTACTGTAGGTGCTTTGATTGGACTCGGCTTTCACGCTTGTGCTGACTGTCTTCGTTACGACTCACTCTTTCTACGCAGTAATGCAGTATTTGGGCAAAGCAGTACGGCAAGCTTTTGTGCGTACACTATGTGTTTTGCTCCTTGCTCCCCAGCTCAGATCCCCCAGTCCCGGTCAATCGAGTTGCTACCTTGCAAAGCTGGTTTTTGGTTTTGACAGGGTGGGGGAGGGTAGACCGTGAAGAGGAGAGGTAGGTAGCCTCGCTGGTAGTAAGGTGTCAGTCGTAGCAAGACAGCTACTAGCTTGGACACAGAAGAGCCCTTGCATGACACATTTGGTTTCTACAATTCAGGGAAACTTAACTTACATTTTGGGTTCTTTGACCTCTTCGAGAAGAAAGGCTGACCAGAGTCTGCGGCCGCACCCTGTGTCCGGGTCCGGGGGGTGTCCTTTATGTCCGTACCTATGTTTCCTTTGTGTTTTTTGTCGGTCTCTCCAATGTTTCTTTTGTGTTGTTTGGAGGTGGGGCGCCAATTGCGGCGCCAATGACCTACAGCGTTTGATCTAAGACAACAACAGTTCTTGCTGATAAGACTGTTTGGGCATACGCTGGTAAATGCTGATATAACTTTTTGTGCAAGAGTAAAGTAGATAAATGCAGTGCGTTTGTGGCCAGGTGCCCATTGATTGAGCATGTTTGAGCAATTGAATAGCACTCTCGCATACTCGAACTTATATAACTCCCAAATGTGACTCAGAGATGTTCCATCAAAAAGCGAAGGACGACTCTACCACAAACGAGCTTCCTACTGCTTGCGCACAGGAGGGCAAGAGGACCTGGACTGGTAAAGGTGTGGCTGCTGGAAACTTATTTCCTGTGAAGCTTGGTGACCAGCATGAGACATGGTGACTTGAAATGACATGCATTCCATTCGACGGCAGCTTTGCAGCTTTGGCTCTGAAAGAGTCAACAGTTTCATGGCTAGGAAAGAGTCGACCTCGTCCTATGTAAGAAGTGGATTGTGGGACGGCCACTTCCGTGGTTCAGATGCAAGAGAGGGTCTGGTGTTACGGTCAGAGCGCAGAGTGTCCAGTGCTCCACTGCGCGGTTCACCTGAACGTGGCCGCTTTGGGCGGCCTTTGCAGCCCCGATGGCCTTTCGGTGATCAAGATGACAAAGCAGCAGACACAGACAAAGCAGCAAATGTTGTGCAGAATACGATATCCTCAAGAGGATGTACTGCAACTTTGGGATTCGTCCTTGAGACAACTCGCACCATCCGTGGATCAGGCGTCCCGTCCGATTGCTTGGGTGTATGTCAGGATGTTGTGGAGTGCACACAAGCCCAACGAGCTCAAGAATTGCTGCGTCAACTGACAACATACCGGCATCAAGCTGAACTGAACATTGCTAGAGTATGGGCGACCCTCATCAAGACTGCAGCCAAGGAGAGCGAGGAAACAAGAGCAACTCCGCAAGAGAGAGATGAGGCACAGGCACGAAGAGCAGAGCAGAAAGGGCAGAGAGTGGTCCATGGAGCTGAAAGTTCTTTGCTGCAAGAGTTGGACATGCTTCGAGCCGAAATGCGTGAGAATCTAGCCATGCTTGAAGCTGATGCGGAGGCAGCAGTTTGGTGCTTCCAGTCTCACAGCAAAAGCAATCCAAGCGCAAGGAAAAAGACGTTGCAACGTTGCGCAAGTTGTACTGTAAGTTGTAGGGAACTGCAGGGTAGCTTAGACATCCTTGGACTGATCTTGAACCCTTGGACTCTCTTGGACCTTAGACTGTTCTTGGAATCAACTCTATGAGTGGAAGAGTCGACGGGGAGAGCAAGACGTCTGAGGCCTCCATGGGCATGCGCCAATTCCCTACGCCGTGGCCCCAAAAGACACGAACAACCGACAAAAGAGTCAAACAAGTAGTCAACTCAGACTTGTCAATATTTGTCAATGTTACTTGTGCGAGGAAGCTTCACATCCAAAAGAGCATCAACAAAGATGGTGCTTTGCTTACAGCAGAGTCCTGAACGCTCTGTCGATTGTCACGAGCTGAAGTGAATTGTGCAAGGCTGTGTCCGTTTCTCGTCACTCAGAGGCACGATTTGTAGGTTTAAGATGTTTTACGAGTCTTTTCGCAGGCCTTTGGTATTTGCAACATGTATTGCAGGGGTCAAAAGCAACTTCACAAAACCATTATCGTTGTCATGTATTATCCGTATTTCAATATTTGCAGATTGACAGGTGGCAAAAAGGGTGGCAAGGCGAAGGGCAAGGTGCTGTGAAGGGTCTGCTGCATGAGAACTGCTAATATATGGCCACAGCGATTTGTGAAGAGCATTTGCCGAAAACGTTTGCTTTTCTAGGGGAACACATCTCGGCCCACGGATCCCGCTGAAAGCTCATTTACAGCTCACCTGGTCACCTGCTTTGTGTTTTTATGGAACATAATGTGAAATGGCAGTGGGGTTGCACTCACTGCAGGTTTGGACACAGCGACAAGGTCCTGATCGAGAGAAGCACACCGAAATAGGGGAAGCGTGTCCTGTCAAAACTCGGATTGGTTTTGAAAGGTCGCACGGTCACAATGTTTGTGCTTAGTTTTTGCTCACAGATATTTCAGCCAGTCTAATGATTACGAAGTTGGTTTCTCTAACTTCCTTTTGCTTTCCGACTTGCGTGCTTGCTTGCCTGCCCCTGCCTGCCCGCCCGCCCGCCCTTCCTGCTTTGCTGCTTTGCCCGCTTCTTGTTTCAAGCGAACTATTTTCTTTCCTCACTCGCGATGCTTTGCCTGTTTGTCCTTGCCGTTTTTGGTTTGCTTCGTTGTGTGATTGCATTTTTGTTGGTTTGCTTTTGGATCGTAAACTCCAGGGTTCTCCTTGCAGCAGTGTTGTTTAGGGAACTGGACGTGCGAACAACAAGAGGAGGAACATTGATTTGAAGACATTGCACACCTAGGCCCACAGAACAGGTTTGACCTTGTATAAGTTATATACTGCACCTGCATCTGTTTCTGAGGTGTGTTCTTTCCTGGGCCTTGTCAGAGATGAGAGGTTGGAGGCCTGCAATGGAGGACAGATTTGATCAGCAAGAAGAGTACTTCAACAAGTTCGTGGAAGTTTCTGTGTTTTTCACCAGATAGCGAAAGCTATTAGGGGTTCTTATTCCCCGGATAGAAAGAGCTACTTTCTTAGGGTGCCGCTGCGGACTGGGTGCTGGTGCCACTGCAGGGCGCCGCCAGATGTGTATTGTATGGCCGCCTGCGCTTTGGAGCCTGGATGCTGGTGCTGCAGGGTGCTGCAGGGTGCTGCCGGATGTTAATGGCAGTGTTCGCCTTTGGGGGCTGGGTGTGAAAACCTGTTTGCCGTGGAGGGACAGATGTGTGTGGCATCTGTGGTGCGCAGGTGCCTCTTCAGAGGTGCTGCTCCAGGCTGCTACTGCGAGATGTCTATGGCATGTGTGCTTCGGAGCTTGGGTGCTGGTGCCGCTGCACCTTGCCGCTGCAGGGTGCATAAACAAACATGGCACGGTCAACTTCAACTAGGCCATCCTGTGTCATAGAAGACAGACAGGCAAGACATCTGGAACACAAATTTTCGCCCAAGGTAGCAAGAGCCGTTGCGGCTCCTACTTCGACGGTGCCGCTGACACGTCCGTGTGCGCTTTGGAGCCTCCTGGGTGGTGGTGCCAGCTGCCAGATGCGCATGGCAACGTGCGCTGTGCGCTGGTGCCGCTGCGGGGCGCCGCTCCAAGGTCTATGGCCCTATGGCAGTGAGCGCTTTGGAGCTTGGATGCTGGTGTTGCTGCCGTATCTATGGCAGCGCCCGCCGGCCAAGTGTCTTTGCCATGTGCTCTTTGGAGTGTGGGTGCTGGTGCTAATGCAAGGTGCCGCTGTGGGGTTGCTGCCAGATTGCTATGGCAGCTTGAGCGTTGGAGCCTGCGTGCTGGTGTCGCCGCAGCCCGCTGCAGGGTGCCGCTGCCAGATGTTTATTGCAGTGGGCGATTTGGAGTGCGGGCGTTGGTGTCGTGCTGCCCACAATGCCCACAATATTTTTTGCTATCTGGGGTCTATGGTGATCAATTTCAAAGTCTTTGCAGTGGCAGAATTTGCACTTCTGCAAGTTCCAGTGTTGAAAACTTGTTGCTGGACTTGCGTCCGTTAGTTGTTCCTTTGAGGATGCGACCTGTGTGTGTACGCAGCTCGCGGACCAACTTACAAATTTTGCCTTGCAAAGACCTCTGTCAAAGTCACATTCATGCCTTTGAGTTCGTGTTTTGATGTGGATTTGTGGGCTTGTAAATTGTCAAAGCCCTTAGGTTTGCTGTTTTTGATGGTCATGGGGGTTCAGTGGTCTCCCGATACGCAGCCCGAGAACTGCTGGAAGCCAAGATTCGAGAAGAGATTACTCCCAGTGCACAGACCCCAAACCCTTTGGGGTGGCCAACAAATCAAAATCATGTTTTTCGTGTTGATTTTTGGAAACGTCCTCGTAAGATACTTAGGACCAGAGTTCATTAAACTGCTAGATTCATTCTTGGTATTTCATGTTTCTTTTTGTTAGCTGTGGCGTTGCTCAGCACAGTTTCCTGTCCCACATGCTTGTGGACAACAGAAATGGCAAACAAGATGCAAGATGCCGACAGTGGGACCTGGGACTTGAAGGTTGAACGCCTGCCAAGTTGCAGTGCAGCAAACGAATAGTGGAAACTTGAAGCCATTCTTTGAACATTTGGGCTGGCAGTGAGTGCTGTTTGAGCGCTTGGCCCAAAACTGGACTGACACCGCAGTTTGTTCTTTGCGGTGTAAGCCTAAGCTATGGTGATGAGTGATGAGGCTTAAATTAGAAGGCAAAGCTTGGACATTGGCGCAGACACGAGACCTGCCAAGGCCGAGCGCAGTCCAAGCATCAGCAATGGAAGATTGTTTAGATGAACAAGGCCGGTTTTCATTTTGTTCCTGGTACATCCTGTGATTTACCAACTCACATCCTCGAGGGCTGGAAACTTTTGTCGAAACAATGAGAGCTTCAAGTACTGCACCAAGCTCATGAGTGGACTTGGACGGTGACCAGCGTTCGACCTATTTGGGCATTTTTTGGCTCTTACAGCTCCATATTGGGTCGGTATTGTCACCCCAAAATGGAGACCTCATTGCCGAACAAGTAGCGTGCCCCGGAACTAAGACGACTGATTAGTGTGTGCAGTTGCTGCCGCTTGACGCGCGCATGCGCCCGGCCATTTTATTTACATAGGTACTGTATTGGGAAAGATGAGCTGTACTATGACTGTGCATACGGCATACGCTGGAAAGAACCGCATTACCTGTTGCCGTGCAGACCGCATCGACGTTCCAAGATTGCTCGGCCGCATCCTCAAACTCTAAAACTCCACTTTTGCTGCTTTTGCAGTTTAATTCAGCTGAGGCAACGCACTTGCCAGCTTGGATGAGGCCTTGCCTCAAGGGCAAATTTCTTTCGTTGAATTGCTGCGCAAGCATTGTCAGTTTGTCGCAGGCGTTGCGACATGATGGGGAGGGTGAACCTGGCTTTTTGCATCTTGCAGGCCTCCCAACATCACTAGTTGTGAGAAACTTATTGTTGTGCACTACTCACGAGCAATTCGCAGGCGGCGGGAAGCCTATTGAGGGCTCAGTGAGGATGCAACTACTTGCATGCGCATCAAGTCGTTTAGGATCCTTTTAAGCACACCTCTGAAGTCAACTGCACCCTATTCTCTAGTTTAGATCAGTAGAAACAATATATACTGTGATAGACCCGCGCAAAGATCATTTTGGGATTGAATGTTTGTGCAACATCCAGCAACATCCTGAGACATAAGCATCTTGCTGTTTTTTCCCGAAAGCATTGCGAAGGGTTCTTCCGGAAAATCCCTTGAACACTGACACTTCGACACGTACACTTACACACTGACACTTCCACACTTGCACTTGAACACTGACATTTCGACACGTACACTTGAACACTTACGCTTTCACACTTACACTTGAACACGAACACATGAACATGAACACTTACACTTCTATACGTACCCCAGTGTAAGTGGAAGAGTGAAAGCATCCAACGGCAAGTATCCAAGTGCAAAAGTATGCAAGTGTGATGAGTATGCAATGAGTATGCAAGTGTGAGTATGGAAAACTTGCACGGGAGATGTCCTAATGAGAAACATTTCCACACTTTATAAATTCTCTCTTAAAGGCGGAGGGTGGGACGAACAGCGTCAACCGAAAATGCAACCCTCTGCGGAGATCGTGCGTGTCGCGTGCGCGAAATGCAGGCGAGAGTGCGATTTGTCCGGTGTGCGCGCAACCCTCTGCGGAGATCGTGCGTGTCGAGTGCGCGAAATGCAGGCGAGAGTGCGACTGGGTCTGTGCGCGCGCAACCCTCTGCGGAGATCGTGCGTGTCGAGTGCGCGAAGTGCAGGCGAGAGTGCGATTGGGTCTGTGCGCGCGCAACCCTGTGCGGAGATCATGACCTGTTCCCGCGCAAGCCTCTGCGGAGATCGTGCGTGTCGTGTGCGCGAAATGCAAGCGAGAGTGCGATTTGACCTGTCCGCGCACAACACTCTGCGGAGATCGTGCGTGTCGAGCGCGCGAAATGCAGGCGAGAGTGCGATTGGGTCTGCGCGCGCGCAACCCTCTGCGGAGATCCTGCGCGTCGAGCGCGCAAAATGCAGGCGAGAGTTTTTTTTGACCTGTTCCCGCGCAACCCTCTGCGGAGATCGTGCGTGTCGTGTGCGCGAAGTGCAGGCGAGAGTGCGATTTGGCCTGTGCCCGCGCAACCCTCTGCGGAGATCATGCGTGTCGAGTGCGCAAAATGCAGGCGAGAGTGCGATTGGGCCCGTGCCCGCGCAACCCTCTGCGGAGATCGTGCGCGTGGAGCGCGCGAAGTGCAGGCGAGAGTGCGATTGTTGCGATGCGCGCGCGGCCCTGTGCGGAGATCGTGCGTGTTGCACGCGCGAAAGGCGGGCGAGAGTGCGATTTGTCCTGTGCCCGCGCAACCCCCTGCGGAGATCGCGCGTGGCGAGTGCGCGAAACGCAGGTGAGAGTGCGATTTGACCGGTGCCCGCGGAACCCTCTGCGGAGATCGTGCGTGTCGAGCGCGCGAAATACAAGCGAGAATGCGTTTGGGTCTGCGCGCGGAGAACCTGCTGCGGAGACCGTGCGTGTCGAGTGCGCGAAATGTAGGCGAGAGTGCGACGTGTCCTGTGTGCGCGCAACCTCTAAGTGCGACGTGCCCACAGACGGACTCGACACACTATAGACTGAACACGTCACACTTAACGACATAGACACACACAGACGGACTCGACACACTAGACTGAACACGTCGCACTTAACAACATAGACGTACACACAGAGACCCACGCACGGACTCGACACACTAGACTGAACATGTCACACTGAACAACATAGACACACACACAGAGACCGATACACGGACTCGAGACAGTAGACTGAACACGTCACACTGAACACAAAACGCACAGTACACCTGGAGTGACACCGAGTCGTTCAAGGCGGACGTCGTTCGGCGGAAGGAGAACCCTTAAGGACGTAGCTAGATATTTTCGGGGGAGCTTTTCCGTAGACACAGGCGAGTTGCGAGCTGAGCAGAGAGAGCATTCGAAGATATAGGCAATGGCTGCTGCCTGTCACCTGAAGCTACTTGGGTACGTTAAATTTTTGGGACAGTCGACGAGAAAATGATTAGTACAGTGGTTGATTGATGAACCACATCTCAAGCGTGATGGTTCAAGCTGACCGTCGGACCTTGCAACCGGACCTGCAGAAGGTCTGGCATAGGCGCGGACATCTGTGCGATGTGGAATCCTTGCAACCTGAAGTGGTGAGTGCGTATATCGGTCAAGCTGCACCTCGAACGCCAAGTGGATGGTTATGGCGTACTTTCGCAGGTCATTGGTGCGGTAGACCGGTCGCGTCGCTGGCTCAGAACTATTATCTTCTTGTATGGAGGAACCGCAATGTGGTAACTACTTTATAGGAATATTGTTCATTATATCGGTCGCAACGCATCTCCTCTGACAGGTCACTGCTTCGACAAACTTGTTGCGTACCTGCCTCAGCAATTTTCTGCGTTCATTCCAGCTCGCTTTTTTCAGTGAGATTTCCTGGAGGCGTCCACGCTGCTTCTCCCCTTACCAGCAGCTCAAATGCTCACGACGATGAGCTGGGCTGTCACCGCTTGGCCGCCGGTGGGGGGTTTGGGAGGCCTGCGCGCTACTTCGTTCACTATATCTACAGTGAAGACCTTCACCAGCAGCAGACATAGACACACGCACACAGACAGGGACTCATACACACACACAGAGACCCACGCACTGCCTCAACTTACTCGGACACACACACACACAGACAGAGACTCATACACACACAGACATAGATACACACACAGAGACCCACACACTACCTCAACTCACTCGACTTAACACTTCACACAGAATACTTAACAGATAACTCACACTCTGACTTCCTACGTGATGAAAAATGCTTCCGGGCCACTCGTCGTCTAGTTTTCTTTCTTCTTGTCCCAAACAGTTTACTGTTGGGGTTCTATCTTAGAAACAAAAGAGCTGGCCACACTCACTGGCCGCGCCCCTGAACTCTGTGGCTGGGCTCCGTGGCTGGGCTTTGTGTTCAGGCCTTGTCCTCCTGTCCTCTGTGGCTGGGCTCTGTTCTGTGTCCAGGCCTTGCCTCTTGTGGCTGGGCTCTGTGTCCAGGCCTTGTCCTCCTCTTGTCCTCTGTGGCTGGGCCTTGTCCTCTTCTTGTCCTCCTCTTGTCCTTGTCTTGGCCGCGCCCCTGAACTCTGTGGCTGCGCTCTGTGGCCCGGCTCTGTGTCCGGGTCTTGTCCTCCTCTTGTCCTTGTCTTGGCCGCGCCCCTGAACTCTGTGGCTGGTCTCTGTGGTCCGGCAGCGTGGCCGAACAAATAGCGATGTCAATGCCGACAAAAATTCATTGATGAAGCAGTTTGCTCTCGGGGTGAAGGTAGGGTGTACCAAGAAATCGATTTTTGATTAATATTGGTCAAAACGAATCGTTTTGAAGCTGGGTCTATGCTTGTATAATCTTTTTGGGTGGTTTTGGCTTGAAAATCGATAAACTTATGATTTGTTTTTGATTAAGCATAAACGTTAGCTTGGGTTTGGTGTTTTGCAGGGTCAGATTTTTTAATTGCGCAACTTCTTTATTTAAAAGCAGCAACTTAGACTAGACACGGTGCTGCTAATTTTCAGGTGCTGTGTAAGTGCCTTGTAAGTACAGTAGATTGCAAAGTGCCAAAACGAGGTGCTGCCTAAGTGCCATGTAAGCACACACACACATCTTCATTTTCCAGATTTTTGCTTTAATGCGATGTGGAAATCACAGGTCCTTAATTGTTCCACTTTCGCAATCTGGCGGACACAATCCTGGACCGATTGACTCTTGTCAATGTGTGACAGCTAAATACGCCATTGCTCTGACACCCCATTTGCCAAGTCTTTGCCCCGGGATTGCCGAGATAGTTTCCATTGCAAAGCCTGGCGGTAGCAGCTTCTCTGTCCCTGGATCTTGTGAGCCAGACACGGTGCGCATCAATGTCACGCTTGATCTGAGACAATGCTGTTTGATATCCCAAACTCCTGCTTTTCAATCTGGCCATGCCATCTTCATGCCCATTTGGGCCAGTTCATCATCTGCGCTGGCAGCATGTTTTGCCATCAATCGCTTCACCACTGGCAGGTCAGCCGGCTTGAAATTGGCTTGCTTCTGAGACAGCATTCTGCAACTCCAAATCAAGGTTCATGTTTCCTTCCAGAAGCTGAGCCACCAAATCCGTCTCAATCGCATCATGGTTAATTAATTGAGTAGTTGCTGGTCAACTCCGAGATCACTGCCGATAGAAGTAGGCACATCTGAGTGACCTCCTCCATAGCCGCTGCAGGCGCCTTGACTCTTGCCCCTTCCAGCTAGGATCGGTGCTGGGCATGCGCTGCGTGCGGCGTGCGCATACCGGAGCAACAGCATAAAGGCCTCAGGGGTCATAGTCAATCGATTGCTCCACTCCTTTAAAGGGAAACCGCGTGGCCCACCGCCAGGCATGATTTTCTTCGATGACCAGACTGTCTCATTGAAAGCGTTACCCGCACTTCCAAACTCATTGAAATGAGCCACGGGGAATTCAATAGGTTTTCTGGCCCAAAGCTAGCAAGGCCAGTACCGCTGAGTGCTTTTGCCCTTGGAGCTTCGATTGGTTTGTGGCCGTGCGTCTACTCCTTGATCGGCTCGGTCGGTGTGTAATCACCACCGTTCTTCACCAAGTTCAACTTGCCAAGCCAAGTCAAAGCACAGTGTTGCTTGGTGATGTTTCGGAGCAACTGCGAACGGCGTCTCAAAAATCAACGCGCACCGATACACCGATACACCGATCCATCAGCCAGTCTCTTGAAGATACACCGATACACCGATACACCGGTGCCCACGCCTGGTCCAGGTAGCGGTAGCGGCCAGGTAGCGGCGTATCAGCGTATCGGCGCCCGCCTGGTCCAGGTATAGGCCACGTAGCGGCGTCGCGGCGTATCGGCGCGCGTGCCTGGCCCAGGTCCCCGTGTAGCGGCCTAACGGCGTAGTGGGATATCGGC